TATAAGAATTATTGATTGGTACTATATATATATATATATATATATATGTATATCACTGCCTTTCTCTTGCCTGCTATATTCGTCATTCCAGGAAAGGGTGGGAAAGCATATGGAAGATTCTGAATTTATTTGAAATTCTCTCGATGACAGAATTTTGCTTGAACGTTGAATGCCGTACTTCTCGCTGGCTTTCAAAGAATAGGTGCGCCGTTTACAATTCACAAAATTGAAGCTACATCCAAGAATAATAAAGAATGTCTACTTTTTCTTAACTGATCTCAATGTTTGGATTTTAATATTTAACGCTGAACAATGCTGTCATTGAGCAATGCCATCTTGTCTGGGTTCCTGGTCACTGCGAATTCGATGTTAACCGAAACAATGGAAGATTCTTTCTATGCACTTGAAGCTCAACTTGATGCTGAAATTATATCTGCGAAATACCCGCCGAAGGAAGTTTTGCGTTCGATCCGAAATATCATCACCAGCAAACTTAATGAGGAATACCCAAACATCGCAAAAGAAAAATTGAATCGTCTTTTCTACAAAGTATTTCTATCCATGTCCTTTAAAACCCTACCGGACTCGTTTTTCTCGTCTTGGGAAATCAAAATCGTCTACAGGCTTATTACCAACCATTCCTATCAGAAACCCTATGTCGAAATTATCCGATTATTATTATCTGGCGAAGGTTTTTGTACCACGCCTGCATTAATTGCTTAAAAATTTAATGTAAATAAAATTTTGATATTTTTTGTTGTAGATATATGTACATATATAGATATATCAGTTTATGCGGCGCCATGTACGCCAGGTAAACACCAATCTTTCTGCGGAAAATTGTATTTTCAAAGTTTCAGTTATTTTCTTATTTTATTTTACTCTCCCGAATTTTGATATAATAGATTCTGGGATTAAATTTATTTTCCAAATGATTTCGAGATGATACAATGCAAAGAGGACTGGAGAGAAGTGCGAGATGTGATGGGGATATATGTGTGACGGCGAGCAGAAGTGTTTCGAAATTAAAAAAGTATGTGAAGAAGTAGAGTCACAGTTTGGCAGTGAACATATGTTCTGATGATTAATTAGCTTGAAAAGAAAAAGAGAAGATTGCGGCGTAAGCCGGCAAAATGCGTGAGTATAAAATTATAAAAACGCTGCCATCACGAAGATCACGGATAGATAATCTGCGAAGCGCTGAACGGCGAATGGAAGTGGCGTAATTCGGACAGATAAATAGAAGATGTTCGGGAGATTGCAATGTCCCACGTGTTTACGAGGAGTTACTCGCTACATTAATTTTGTATTGTTGATTATTGGTTCAAACACTTTGTTCAAACTTTGTGTTTACTTCGTGGAACCTTCTGGACTCACCTCAGATGTTGATTTGCCGACTAGCAGAAAAAGAAGAAGATGTTGTTCCTTGCACAAATAGATGAAAATTTTCCGGAGTTTAATCACTACTCGTTTCACTCATTTAAGAACTTCTTTACTTCTTTACATTTTTTTTTAATAGCAGATAAATTGGTACCGCTTGAACATCTGTTGCTTCGTGCCAGCTAATTATTATTTTAAAATTTAAATGAAATATTTAAATTGAAGATCCTCTTCACTTGGCCATGCCAACAGTCTCCTTTGTTGCCTGTGCTGCTAAATCCCGTTGCGACATATAACAGCTTGTTCCTTAAAGTAAAGCGCCAACAGTAAGGAAAATCGTTATGAAGAAACAAAAAAAGAAAAAAAAGGCAAAAATTTCATGTCCACTTGACATTCTATTGTTTCGAAGGAACAATGTGCAAGGTACTCTAAGGTAAGTAAACACGTGCAAAAATTTCTTTTGAAATAAGCACTTGTTGCAGAAAATCCTTAAACCATAAATGAACCGATACTAATAGCATCTATAACACGTACTTGAAAATTTTTCTATTGTTTGTAAAACGGATCATTGTTGACTAAGCGCCACTGCGGAAACCTGTTCATATCTTATTCTTACTTATTTTCTTGATAATAAACCTAAACACTTGAAACTTTATGACCACATGCCTGTGTTTCCCTTACATTGTTAACTCATTGTCATGACCTTTTCCCCTCACCACTTGAGCTAAGCAGATGAAATCACAGTTTTCTTCTTAAATTATAATCTGTTTAATAGTCGTAGACGTGCACTGTACAATGTATACCAGAAGGTAGAATAAAGAATTTTACTTTATTATTAGTTCCATTTAAACATCTGCACTTGTCACTGTCATAAATTTTTGCGTCGCTTTTTCTCTTCTATTCTTTTATTATTATTATTGTTTTAACATAAATTCTAGGATTTTGTGATTTTGTGATTTTTTTTCTTATTTTTCCTTTTACTTTTATGTGCATTATTTTTGACTATTTGCAAGGAGTTACTCATTTCTTCATGCTTGCTGATGTTGCACGTTGGCATTATTACAATAACAATTGCAATGCTAGACGATTTTGTTAATTTTCCTGGCGCCAGTTGCACAGTTGGTGTTCATTTCATTTCAATTTTTATTTGAAGTTATGTTCAATTCTTCGTTGTTATTACCAATTTTTCGTAACATTGTTTTTCTTCACTTGATCTTTAATGAAATCTTTCGATGAGTTACTTACATACTTCCTCTTCTGCTATTATTGGGCAAAGTTTTTTTTATTACTAAAATATGATCTGTGATTTATTCCCGAATTTCCTCCCACTTTATTAATTTTTCATATATTTTTTTTTTTAAATGAAATTTGATCGAATAAGAACATAATCGTAAACATGTATTATGTTTGTCTTGCTCTTTTAGTGCGCTCTGGGAACTCTTTCATGTATGCAAATTGATGGAACGATACATTATGAAGAAGAAGAAGTTATAATGGAGGTGTGTGGGCCTAATGGAGTTTGTATCGTGCAAGTTTGTACATGTGTATGATATATAAGCGCATCTTGCGTCATCAAAAATCTCATTCGAATAAGAGGAAATTGATTTTGAGTGCGTAAAAGCTTAGTTGTTTATCCTTGCATTGATATAGAAGGGAAAAAATTCCCTTTTTTTTACGTCCATCTTTACATCCAAGTTACGCATTGAACGTACTATGTACGTTTTATTAAGACACAAATTTCAGTTGACAGAAATTATTTCTACACTTAATTTGTGCAATTAAGTGTTGTTTACTTGCCAATTCTATATAAGCAGCAGCCTTACAGGGAATATTAAATGTATGCCATTGTCGAAGAATCCTTGTGTTCCAAAAAAAACCCTAGCACTTTGTATATGCCATCGTTTGCTCGCCTAACAACTTTGGCTTTCCCTTAACTGATGACATTACCTGCTAACTAAAGTCCCGATTAAATTCATTAAAGTTACTACATTCCTTCCCCCAATAAACGAAACATATCGAGGGATGGCATTTGCTCTTCATTAAACTCGAACGACATTGGAAGCAATGGATTCAAATTAGTTCGTCCCAAGGAATGGGACAATCTTTATAGCCTCTCAAGTTACAGATCGCTTTGGAGTGTATCTTCAATAAACGCCGTCTGCGGAGTGTTCGATTTGCCGCATCATAGGTTACCATAGCCATGCAGCAATCAGGACTAGTTGTTGTTTTCACCGAAATATTCGTGCTGCTATTACAATCAGGTCTTTCTCAGAAACACACAAGAGATTCCTAAGAATTTGTGATAATTGTGTGAGTGGGCGTCCTGAACGTGATGCTTTAATTTCGACTATATTACTTTTCGTGACTGTAGTCCCTCTTGCATTGGGATCTCCTGCACGATCCCTGATTAGCCAATCCAAAGATATACAAGTCGGTAGAAAACAACTGGCATGATGTGCTACACACTTTCGGCTATAAACCGCTA